TGGGGGTCAGCACTGGGTGTGGGGCTGGAGGAGACCCCTCATTCCCGGGGCACTGACCAGACTGGGGGTCAGCACTGGGTGTGGGGCTGTCCTGGGGCTGGAGGAGACCCCTCATTCCCGGGGCACTGRCCAGRCTGGRGGTCAGCGCTGGCTGTGGGGCTGCCCGGGCTGTGGGGTCAGTTCACTACTGGAGGGATCAGGGGGTTCCTAATTCTTACAGAGGCTTCAGGGGTTGGTCAGCGGGGCAGGGACAGCGAYAGCCGAGGCGGGGCAGCCTCGGGGACACAGCCCGGCCGTGTCAGCCCCCCCGGGCAGGGGGTCCCGGCCCTGAGCCGGGCTGTGCCGCTGTTCGCATCCCGGGGTGGCGCTCCGGGGTCCGGGCATGGCCGTGCTCCAGCGGATCCGTCCCCACAGCGGCCGGCAGGGTCCTGGCAGAGCCTGGCCGAGGGCGCAGGACCCCTCACTCTTCGCCTGGGTGCTCCCCCACTGTCCACTTGGCCTTCACGTCCCGGAAAGGAGTGATGTCCTCGTAGGTGGCCATCTGCTCCACCTCCAGCCCCTGCAGCAAGCACAGCGAGGGTGAGAGCCGGCGGGAGGCTCCGGCCACCGCCCGTCCCGGGGACACCCCCTGGGGACACCCCCTGGGGACACCCCTGGGGACACCCCTGGGGACACCCCCCTGGGGACCCTCCCGGGGCTGGAGCAGCTCCCGGCGGGGACGGGACGGAGATTTTGGGTGCTGAATACGCGCTGGGTGGTTCTGGATGCAGCGCATCACAGCTGCTGTGGGATTTGGGGGGAAGGGGCAGCCAGGTGACCCCACAGCCCCCCAGAGAGGGCACCACCCCGGTGTCGCAGCGCAGGGTGGTGTCAGGGAGCTCCCCTGTCATTAATTACCTCATAGGTGTGGTCCTCCTCGGGGCTTTTCTTCTCTTCACCCTGCAGAGAGGACAGTCATGGGCTGGGCTCAGCAGCCACCAGGGTCCCCTGTCCCCAGCCTTGGTTCCCAGGCCGGGTCCCACTGCTTCCACGGACAAATCCTTCCCACGCAACATTTGCRATAATCACCTTCCCAATTCCGCTATCCCCGCTCCCACCCCACAGCCCTGTGGGGGAATGGGGCCCCACAAACCCTGATTCTGAAACTTAGGCAATCATTGTGTATGACTGAGGCCTGGGAAAAGAAAAGGAGTGTTGACAGCCTACATGGAGGAAGAATGCCGCATCCTTGAGAAAAGCAGATTGGAATGCAGAATTGGTAACGCAGGTGGCTGAAAATTATAAGCATTACTRATACTGTAGCTTTTGCAAGCTCACCAATTATGTTCTAATTRCTAATTAAACAGTTGTCTCTTGACCAATGTATGTTTGACACAAATGTGTACTCTRGTTRCTAAAGTGRATAAAAGWRGCTTGTCCCACAATAAAGTCCTTCTTTCTTTCTGTTTTTTCACCCACTTTTGTGTGTTTTGTATCTATTCTTTTCTGTCGCTGTTTGGCCAGCAGCGACACAGCCCCAGGCCCGTCCCCATCCCATTGCCT